GAGGAAACAGGCAAAAAAGAGTGAAACATACCTTTTTTATGCCATTACATTACATCTTGGCTCCACTCCTAGGCCAATGTAGCACTCACACCCCCAATCTAAGCTCTAGACAATGAACCAATCACAAATACATACTGCAAATGCATGAGGCCTAGGGGCCACCCACATAAACCATGACACCTTCCCATGGAATTTCCCATGCTTCTGTGGGACTCAGTGTGGACACGCAGTTTCCCTTCATCTGTCACCTCCAGTGGGGAGGATCTGTTGACCCCACTGTGTCTATGGCCTACGATGCACAATGCACTCTTCAGTACCTGATCTCCCTGACCTCTCATGCCTGGAACATCGGTGCTCTTAGGCCCAGGTGATTCCCATTCACCTCTCTGAGCCAGCTGTCCTCCAGGGATCCTATCCATAGGAGAGTTCAGGAACATGTTCTGGAGAATTGTGCTGATGTCCACCTCTGGCCAAGGAAGACTGTAGGGACCCCAGAACCCTCTAATGTGACCCAGTCACTCTCGTCCCCCTGGGGCAGTAGGGTGATGGTGTTTCCTCTTCTGTCTCAGGTCTATGGCTGAGGGGTGCATGCTGGTCAGTGGGCAGAGAGGAGTCCACACACACTGTGAGCCTGCGGTGTGCAGGTCGCCCACCTACACTTCAGGATACAGCCCACACTGCAGAGGATGGTGTGATGAGAGACAGACAGATGTCCTCACCCTTTCTCTCCCTGGACATGGCATGGAGCTGGGCCTGGTGCAGCTCATCTGGTGCTAAGAGGAAGCTGCATGAGCAATAAATATTCTTAGGTTTGCAGCATAACACAACCAGCCTCTCAGCGTTACACTTTCTGGGTTTTTCTTTTTCAAGAGTTATTGAGAGACTACAAATCAGGCCTTAAAAGTGTTTTCACATTTTTGTGCTCAACATTTCCACTGTGTACTTGAGTGTGGCTGCCAAGCATTGTATGTGGGGAAAACGTGTTAACCAATTTTCCACTGGAAGAAGTTTTGCAACTGTTATCTTCCTCCCTATAATCACTTGAGCCAAAAATACAGTTATCAAACCAATGTATTTGATTTGGGAAGGAGCAACGTTTATTGCTTTATCCCTGCTACATGGACTTGAGCAACAGTATCTCCAGGAAGTGATCTACACCCAGGTGCAACCCTCTAGACAGAGATGTGGTGGAGTCTCCCCTGCTTACACTATGTCAAGGCCATGCAAGGACCTGAGGTTCAGACCCACAGTGGAGGACAAGCAGAGGGAAAGACAGGTGAGTCCCATTACCTGTAGGTCTCCAGGCTTTCCCACACTGCACCTGCATTCCCATCTACTCACTCTCCCTCCTAGAAGCTAACTCTAAATTTCCCCAGGGAGTGACCTGCATCCAGCTGAACAGCTTCAAGCTTACACAGGAGCCAAGCGCAGCCCCTTCCTCCCAGGAAGAGGAGAGCTCAGCTGTGCCCAGCATGTATGCTCACCTGGTTGGAGAAATTTCAGATCCCATGGTGCAAAGATTGACACACGGGGGCTTCTGGAGGGATAGAAGCTGCCCCATGTACACTCAGCTAAGGACCACGGGTAGCATGGGGGCTGGTGTGGGACCCTGAAGTATCCTAAACATGGCCTGATCCTGTGGTCCAAAAGACAGCTACACCAACACACCTGCATATATATTAAATGTTAGTTTTAAAATAACTTAGGTGGTTAAAGTGCCTGTCTAGTAAAATAACTGAGACTTAGTAAAATAACTGAGACTGAAGAAATCACATAGTGATCACATTAATCATAAATTTAAAAGTACACACTAAGCTTATGAAGTATCTATACTTTAGAGTAAAAAATAAATAAAAATAATTGAAACAAATACAAAAAAATTGAGTGATTTACATTTGCATGAAAATTACAACAATTTTGACAAAGTAAGAAATTGGGGAATAAGGATCATAGCAACCAACAGTAGTTTAATTAGAAAAATAAAAACATATATATTTACTTAAAATCTAATAAAGTTTATAAAGCCCTGGGAACATTTTATAGGAAAGGAAATATTCACAAAAGAAATACGGAAGGAACATATCTCAACTTTTATATTTGGAGAAGTTGAGGTTCCCATGAGAAATTCTCCCTCATTTTTAATTAGAGGAAAATGACAGCCCAGGACCCTTGGGTTAAACAGTAGCCAACAACACACTTTAGTGTCTAAAAATGTGAGCAAAGTGGATTCACTCAAAAAATCAGGTTTGCTATGGTAATTAATAACATCAGTGCATTTTACCATGTTTATAGAAAAAATGTGCTCACCTGAACAGATGAAGAAAAAAATTCTACAGAAAGTCACCAGGTGTCCACAATTTTAAATGATAGAATGATTGCTCAGTCAAATTTGAAAGAAATTTATAAAGAATCCGAAAGAAGCTTCCCACTTACAAAGGAATAATTGGTAATTCTGACTCATGAGCTAGGAAGGAGAGAAGGGACTGTGTCACTGGGCTTCTTTTCCACATTTCTCAGGAGGTACATGCAGGGGAATGAAGGAAAGATGATGGCAACACATAGCAATGATAATGATGACAGAAAGCTAGGAATGAGCTGTGGCTCTTCAGAAATTCAAACGGTCATCGTGTGAGGGCAGCTTGATTGTGTACTTAGAAAACAGAAATCATTAGGAGGAAGATAATGAACATAGCAAAATGCTGGATGCAAAATGAAAATGTATATTTCAAACATTTGTGGATACCGGGAAAAGCAGAGCTTCTCCAGCAGAGGGAACAGAGGAGCCCTCAGCCTGTGCTCCCAGGAAATCCAGGTGGTGAGAAGCACACACAGTGTTGTTTTAGGAAGTGTTTCCAGATAGAGATGGAGAGCCTCGGGGAGGATTAGAAGGACAATGAGGAAAGTTAGAGCCAGAGATGTCAGGCCATCAGCCAGCAACCAGGAGGTAACCAAAGACAGTCTCTCAGGAGAGGGACAAAGGGATAGTTCACCCCTTGTAGTGTCACCAGAAAGATCCATGAGAGCAGGACACAGGGACCTCACTACAACTAAACCACGCAGATGCTGCCAGGTGTGAGGGACGTGGGGGATGATGTCAAAGTGTTGAAGGCTCCAGTTCAAGGGCAGAGCAGCATCAGCTCCCCCTTGTGTCCTGTGGATGACTTTCCCTCTGTGCTGTTTCCATGGAGAGGTCTTTCCTGTGCAGCCAGGTGCCACCATAGGTAAGAGAGACTTCAGTGCACAACTCCAGTGGTCACAGTGTTGGCTCCATCTGCTCCTCAGCACACTCACTGTCACCATCAGGAAGCAGAGGTGACCCTGGGTGTGTTGAGGGCCCACGGCTCCTGCTGTGAGACATTCTTGAACCAGAACTGCAGTTGCACTGTGGGGATTTCCAGCAGGAAACATATGTGTACATTTGGTTCCATTTTACACTGATCACCTAGAGTCATTATGCACTAGAACTCAAAAAATGCTAGAGTCCTTCCTGCCCAGCAATAAGATCACCCACAGGACCCAGTGCAGGTACCAGCAAAGCTCCGCTCCTCATGCCTGGTGGGGAGGTGCTGGTTGCTCCTTCAGTAAGAACCACACTCTGCTTTGACTGCAGCATCAATCGACTCAAGGGAAGGTGAGGTTTAAATTGGGTGGATGGGGAGCAATGTCCAGTTAAGGAGCCAATATTAAGCATTTCTTCAGTACTCATAAACCATCACCACACTGGGTGATCCTCTGTGTCTACTCTAGGAGCACTGTGCTCCATCCACCATCAACAATGACCCTAGTGGTCATGTGTCTGTGGGTGTCATTCCATGCCAGGTTCAGTAATGAGCCCACCTGGCTGGAGCAGATGAGCTCTGGCACTTGTCCTGAATCTGCACAACTTTCACGTTGGGGTCATCCACTGGAAGAGGGTCTGCACACACCTCAGCTTCCGGTCAGGGTGATGATTCCCAAAGACTCAGGCACTCATAAGTGTGGCTTTGGGTAGGAGCCTGGATTATGGGACTGGATTGTGGCTGAGCGGCACTGGAAGAGTCATCCATTACTGGGTTTCTGAGTGAGTGTGATGTTGGCAGGTGAAATCTGTGAGAAGAGGTGGCCAGTGTGAGCATGGGATGAGAAATAAGTATCTTCCCCGGTCCTATGATGATATTCACTGCTTCCCAGCCATGGAATATACTCTATACAAAGAGGGAACTCAAGAGCCCTGGAGAAAACAAACATCGCAGGAACTCAAGAACATGGCCGTGTTCTCCATCCCATCCATGACAGAGCACCATGCAGGGCTACATGGCTGCTACTACTGAACCCCTTCTGGCTACTCAGAGCCCAGTGAGCCCCTGGAGCTGGTGGTGACAGGTGAAAGGACACTCAGGGTCCAGCCCCAGGCTTTGCCCTCAGATAGGGGTCTGCTCCCAGGAATGTCCCTTCTCACAGTCCAGCCCTGGGGACAGTGGGAGGCATAAGTCCTTTTATACACTGCCTCCTTCTCTCCTAGGAGCCTACAGCAAACCCAGCCTCTCAGCCCTGCCCAGACTTGTGGTGACCTCAGGAAGGAATGTGACCCTGCAGTGTATGGCACAGCTGGGATTTCACAGGTTCATTCTGATGGGTGACTTTTGACTGAACACAGAACAAAGTTCCCCCCTCCCCAGCCCTTCTTGATTTATTTTCTGACAGGTTCTTGATTTACTCAGGTGGGGCTCAAGTTTTGGACCCTCCAGCCTCAGCTTCTTGAGTAGCTAGGATAACAGGTGAGGGCCACCATGGCTGACTGAAGGGCTCTTTGTAGGGACTGAAATCTGGGTTGAGGCAAGAGTTCTGTTGTGGCTTTCCCAGTTTGTAGTTTCCTTGTCAAGTTTTGATATCAAAATTTTCCTTGTCTTATAAAATATGTTGGGTTGTCTTTTATCTTTTTCAATTTGCAAGAAATGTCTGTGGAAGTTTGTGATTTGATGTATTTCTTGAATGTGAAGGAAATCACTAAAGTCTGCATTGAGAATTGTTTTTATTACAGGGCTAATATACTCAACATGCATGAGATGATTCAGATTTCTGTTTGTCTTCATTTCCACTAAATCAATTGTGTCTTACAGGTTTCATCTGTTTCATCCAGAAATTTGACAGGTTGGCATAAAATTATTCATAATATCCTACTATTATCACTATAAAACATGTGGTGTCTGTCCTGATGTCTGCTATTTTCTAATGTTAAAATGTGTGTCTCCTCTATTTAAGTCATCATTAATAGCCATTATTATTTTCTTTTACCTTATTTAGAGGTATTTCATATACTATCTCTAAATTTTTGATATATTTTGGTTCAATGATTTTTTACAGTGTTATACAGTGCATTTATCAATGGTTCTTAATTTTCTCATTTCCTATCTGTGTAGTGTCATGCTGTCATCCATATAATTCATTTCACACATCCTCTCCCATGGTTTAATTTCTTACCCACACAGTGGTTATTAAAGAATCTCTACTTTTATTTCTAACACACAAAGATATGAGCTCTCTCTGACTGCAGGGTCAGCTGAGTCTCAGAAGATCCCAGAATCTCTGGAAGTCTCTGTTCGGCGTCCCTGGCTGAGGTATCACTTAGTGTCCTTTGGGACATCTCTTAGGCATGTGGATGCCAGGGCAGCATACGCACTGGGCTCCGCTGGGAGGGCCCTGTGCTAGGAGAAAGGAATTGCAGCTGTCCCCTGTCTGAGTGTCCAGCTGCACAGCTGGGCATAGGTCACATCTTGGGAATCCTCATAGGAAGAAATCTGCAGGGGGGAGAGGGAGAGGAGAGGTTAGTTCTTGATACTGAGGCAGTGGGAGTCCTAGAGAGCACAGGACCCACCTGAGTGTTCATCTGCCTGTCCTTCCCTTCCTGTCTGTCCTTGGTGTCCAGGAGCTGCCCTGACAGGATGAAAGGAAGGGAGGCCTCTCTTTCTGGGTGATGAGTGTTTCACTGCCAGCCCAGGGAAACCAACAGGAAGCCCAGATGGGGTTGAACCAGGGAGCCGGACTTCTGCTCTTCTCTCTGCACCAGAACTGCACTTGATGAGCTGGAGAGAAGGAGCCTGGACACCCAGCCCTGGCCCAGTGTACACTGCCACTGGCACTGGCATTGCAGAGGTACAAAGGACCATGCAATGTGAGGTCCTGGATGATTCCCTAGGAGGCCTTTTTCCAGGGCTCACAGCAAGCTCAGCACAGAGAGGAACTTGAGAGTCAGGTCTAGGCCTCTCCTCTACACTTGGAGAAACTGAGGCCCACACAGGAAGAGCTGGTCCTAGTCAGCATCTACAGAGGAGGCTGTAGCAGCACCGTAGCTCAGGCCCTCCCCTGGGACCCTCCCAGCGGGGCCCTTACTCACCACCCGAAGATCCAGACTCTGGTGTGGTGGGCTGATCCTCAGTGCTTCCTAGGAAGGATGGGAAGGTGAGGGCCTAGGCTCCCTCCTTGCCACTTCTGGTGCTGCTCCTCTCCCAGGCTGGACCCCAACATTTCTCATAGCTTTGAAACCACCTTGTGAAGCCCAGATGTCCTAACCCAACCTCCTCCTACAGATGATCTGTAAAATGGCCTCCTGTCAATTATTTAGGAACTCAAACATGATTGGGTTAAAGAAAAGAGTTCCTCACCTGAGACCAGGAGCTCCACGGCATCACTGGGCTCTGACCACACCTGAGGTTTGGTAGTATAACAGCCATAGCACCTGAACGTTCACATCTGCCCAGGGGTCAGAGGGCCCACAGGGAACCGGGCCAGGACCTATTGGTTGACCCCTGGTTGTGAGCCCAGTGTCCAGTAGAGATTGTCTTCTCCTTCCTTAGTCATAAAGAACCTGTCAAATCCCTCCCATGAGCCACACTGCAAGGTCACATTCTCCCCTGAGGTCACCAGAGGGCTGGGAAGGGCTGAGAGGCTGGGCTTGCTGTAGACTCCTAGGAGAGAAGGAGCCAGCATGTGAAATGGATTCACACCTCCCACACTGCTCCAGGGCTGGGCTGTGAGAGGGGGACACCCCTGAGAGCAGACCACTTCTTGATGGCAGAACCTGGGGCTGGGACCCTGAGTGTCCTCTCACCTGTCACCACCCCCTCCAGGGCATCACTGGGCTCAGACCAGCCAGCAGGGCTGCGATGGTAACAGTGGTATCGCCCTGCGTCATCTTCTATCATGTATGGGATGGAGAACTTGGCCTTGTTCCCTGGCTCAGGTGACATCTGTATGTCTGAGAATTCTGGACTGTCCTCTCTGTACAGATGGTATAGCTGGGCCTCTGGGGTCCCCTCACACCAGAGGGTCACAGGAATCCCCGAGGGTATTACAGAGCCTGGATGAGCCTGGAGCTTGGGTTTTGGGAGGGACACCTGCAATGAAGCAGTTGAAAGGGGGTGATGTATTATGACTGTGCGCAGTGAGTCCTGCATGGAGCAAGTTTAAGGCTGATCTGTGATGAGAAAAAAGACACCCAAGGAGCCGCCTGTAGACATAGCGCCCTTCTGGACACTGTGATTTGAACTTTCCCTGTCTCGTCCTGGCTCTGATATCTCTGATCTCACTGTCCCCAACTCTGTCCCTGAGTTCAGCATCCCTGGGCGCCTCACCCATCTCACCCTCAGGTGCTTCCAAGGTCTTTAGTTCAGGTCCTCAGTCATGAAAAGAAATAGCTGGGCTTTCCTCACCTGAGATCTGGAGCTCCAGGGCTTCACTGGGCTCCAACCACAGCTGGGGTTGGTTCCAGTAATAGCCATAGCATCTGAATGTCCACCTGTGTTTGGGGGTCACAGGGCCCACATGGAACAGGGCCTCGGCCTGCCCACTGGGGCCTTGCTGTGAGTCCAGTATCCAGGAGAGCTTGTCTCCTCCTTCCTTAGTCAGAATACTAGTGATTATCTGTTTTTAGTTTAAAATGCAGGGGTAGCTTGAAATTTAAAACTATAGCTTCCTCCCACCTGGCGTACCTCAATGACTGACAAGAAAGTCAGTGATCCCTCCCCCAGGAACCTAGAGAGGCTCCTTAGGTGCTCTCCATCACCTGGAGGAGCTCAGCAGCCATCAGGAGCATTGGCAACTCCTTTCCCCATCTTCAGCACCTTGGTGGGCAGGCAAGAGCCTCACCAACCTCTCCCAGAGGACCTTGGTGCGTAGGCAAGAGCATGGTTGAGCCCCCTCATACACAGGACTCCAATAAGATATCAGGAGACTAGGTGACCTCTCCTTCCTCTCAGAGGACCTTGGTGGGCTGGTGAGAGCACCTGTGAGCCCTTCTTCCGTACAGAGGACACTGGGTGGGCTGATGAGAGCTCCAGCCAGGCCTCCCTCCACTACTTGGAACCTAAATGGGACTGTGAGATCTCTAGTGACAGAGTAGGGCCCACACTATGGACAGGTGAGTCTGGTGGTCTAGAAATCTCTGAAGCTACGGTAACAATATGTGCTAAAGGTTTGTTTGCATCAATCCTCCTAGGCTTGACTTGCCTAGGATGAATACAGGTCTCACATAACTGGTCCCCCAGAAGAAATTCAGGTGACTAGCCCCTCTGCTACATCACAGGATCCAGCAACTGGGTGAGCACCAGCTCCACTGTAGGACAGTGGACAGTCAAGGATAGCAGGATTTAAAAAACCAAAATATTAAGAGATGAAAATGAGAAAGTGAAAAAGGAAATTGCAATGTCAGATGCCTAACCCATCTGGAGCAAGGACAGGAGACATAGACATAGAAGACATTACGAGTCACCCACTTGAGATTTCTGAAGAGATAGCAAGTGAAGTTAGCAAACAAATGCATGAGGCTATAGAGGAAATCAGATCACAAATAATCTCTCAAGTAAAAACAGAAATGACAATCTTATTGTAAGAATGGCTTAGCATAGCTAGAGAAGGCATAAATTTTTTTTAAAAAAATACAAGAGCATGAAAAAATGTTGAAAATCTTGAATGGAAAACAAAGGAAAGAAATATAATGCATGAAACAAATTCAAAGAGATGCAGAAAATTTAAAATTCCATCAAACGCTGAGAAAACTACTTGAGTGAAACTGAAGATAAACTTTCCAACCTTGAAGAGAGGATTGCTGTCAGCAATCAAGAAACACCTCTTTAAAATAACAAGGGGAAGACCCTGCATGCCCATAGCCACCATAGGATGGTGGCTTCCTGTGGACATCCAGTGCAGGCAGGGAGACACTGTCAGTCTGGCCCATGCATGCCACTGCCACAACTGGAAAGTTTGCCTTCTGTGGGCAGCCATGATGGGCAGGGAGACAACCAGACCCACTCCTGTAGACCCACCTTTACCATTAGAAAGTTTGTCTGTCTTCAGTAACCAGCACAGGCAAGGAGAAACATCCAGGTATGCCCCCATGTGCTTCAAGCCATCATTGGAGACCCTTGCTTCATTCAGGCAGCCAGTACCCACAGAGACAACCAAATAAACAAACCCCTGTGTGCCTGCCACCATTGGGAGAGTCCCAGTGTAGACATGCAGGCCAAGAGAAGAAGCAGCTCCCTAGCACACATCCCTGGACATCAGGGAAGTCCCAGTGTAGCTGTGTGGATCAGGATAAGCCCATACTATGTCCTGCTACCTCCCTGGGAACTTGGGGTCAAAGACCCAAGTGTCTTTCCTATTGTCCTGCACCATAGAGGGGAAGTCAGTGTGGGAAATGCCTGGGACCCTGCAACTGGCTTCTTAGGACAAACCCAGAAGAATGTCAAGATGAAGGAGCAAACTGCAATCTAGACCTCCATCCCACATGGACCAAATCTGGGAGATAAAGTCATGGAAGAAAATGGAAATCATACACCTGAGATCTCTGAGAGGATAGCAACTGAAATACAGAAATGACTTTGTGAGTCTGTAAACAATCAGATCAGAAATAATGTCTCAGGTTAAAGAAGTCAAAGCATAAGCAAAGAATTGCTGAGCATATCTAAAGAAGACAGATAACATAGAAGAGTATAGGAAGATGATGTAAACTTTGAATGAACAATGTAGGAAGGAATTACAATGTATGAAATATATTTAAAGATATATACAGGAAATCAAAAAGTCAGTCAAAAGCTGACAAAACCACTCAAAAAAGACTGAAGATAGACTTTCAGACCTTGAAGACAGGATTGTAGCTAGTGATCACAAGGAGAGCTCTTTTAAAAATAACAAGGAACCAGGAAATAACAATTCAATGGCTGTAATATAATGCCAAGAAAAATAATTTAATAATGATATATATCAGCAAAAAATCGGGGGTCAACACAAATGACATAAAAAGAGAACTTACAGAAAACTTCCCAAATATGGGAAAAGGATCTGTCATACAGATAAGTGACCATATAGAACTCCAACTAGCCATAAGCAAAATAAATCTACACAGAGACAAATAATAATGAAGATCCCAGAAATTCAGCACAAGAACAGAATATTAAAATCTTTTAGAGAAAAGAAACAGATCACCTATAAAGGAAAACCCATCAGAATCACAGGAGACTTGCCAACACAAACCATCAAGTCAAGATTTGCCAACGCAGACCATGAAGTCAAGAAGAGTTTGGAGTGAAGTGTTTCAAATCCTGAAAGAAAACAACTTCCAACCCAGATTGAAGTCCTGCAAAACTACCTTTCAAAATTGTTGGAAAACTAAGATACTTCCGTGATAAAGAACAACTGAAGGAATTCATGACCACTAAACCCTACAGAGATTGCTAAAAGATTTTCTAGGGAGAGATAAAGATGACCATGGTTCCATGATCAGCAGCAGAGGAGGATCATCAAACATACAGGCAACTGGATGAAGGGGAAAAGTGGAGGGCCAACAACAGGAGGATAGCGGGGCAGAGACAAACCAATGTATGCTGGTTGTAGTCATTAGTGTAGATGACCTCAGGTCAGCAATAAAAAGAGTGGATCAAGAAACAAGATCCATTAATACACCATATACAAAAAACACATTTAACTGCAAAGGAAATTCATAGACTGAAAAATCAAAGGAGAGAAAACAATTGTTCTATACAACAGAAGAGCAGAAAAAAGCAAGAGTAACTTGCTCATTAACAGAAGAATGGATAAGAAATATATGATATTTTCACACAATGGAAAACTATTCAGCTATAAAGTAGGATAACCTGGAGGCTATTGTAGATAAATGGATGCAACTGGAGAGATCATGCTTGTGGGTGAAATGGTTTGGAGTCATACAGATAAACACAGTTATCTCTTCAGCATAAAAAACTGAAAGCGTCAGTGAGACCCAAAAAGCACAATAGATACTATGAAAGTCATAGGGGAGGAAACACCTAAAAAGGGAAAGTGGTAACCACTGTCAATTTCCTATTATCTTCTTTAATCCTCATATTGTTTTCATAATTTTGCATGGTTTGCTTTTATTCTGTCTTGTTTCATTATATTTTACTATGTCTGATAGTATGGGCAGCTATTTTGAAGATAGTGGGTTATATTATGGTAACCATTGTTGATTTCCTATTACCTTCTTTTGAAGTTCTATAATACTTTCATTCTTTGGTTTTGATTGGTTTTATTCTGTTTTGTTTTGTTTGCTTTTATTATGTGTGATGATATGGACAGCTATTTTGAAGAAAACAGAAGACATTATGGTAGCCATTTTTTATTTCCTATTGTCATGTTTTGAAGTCTGTATCACTTGCACTGTTCAGTTCTGATTTGCTTTATTCTTTCTTGTTTGGTTTGGTTTTATTTTCTTTAAAATAAAATAAAAAAATAAATGGAAAAATAACAAGGGGCCATGAAATAACAGTGCAACTGACAGTAAAAGAGACATGGCCAAGAATGTGAAGTAACCATGTTCCAAGTGGGGAGTGTTTTAAGGATCAATGGCAGTGTGTTTTTACTGCAATAATTATTGTGAATTTAAACATTTGTTGTATGATTTTATCATTCCTCACTGTCTGAATACAGCAATTTCTGTCACATGAACACATGATGCCTCCTCCATCTTACCTTACTCAGAAGCCTGGCCCTGTGAAACTTCTGACTCCTCTTCAAATTGGAAAGACCATAAAACAGAAATCCTCAGAATCCATGTAAGACATAAAGGCAGCCAAAGTAGTGCAGATCAATATATGAAAGAGAGCTTCTAGAAATGCTTCAGAATGGGGTGAGAACAATGAGATGAGAGTGTTCAAAGTGGGGTTTCCAGTAAAGATGGTGGATAGGTAAGAGTAGATTACAGGGGCTCCCTGAGACAATTAACTTGGATGCCAAAATAACACAGCGTGGGGAAGAAATTAAAAAGAACTAGTCAAACATGCAGTCCCGGTGCTACTATTGCAACAGCTAAGATTCGGGGCTCCCGCTGCAGTGTCCAAATCCATGTGGCCACAACTCATCAAGCCACCCAAATTCCCACTGCTTCAACTCACTGGAATCGCAGTTGCACTGAAGTGCAAGTTGAAGTTGGAGGTTGGCAAGCCCAGTGGAGAACAGAGCTGGCAAGGGATTTACATTGACCTGCGGTGAGTTTAAGAAATAAAACCCCTCCAACAGAATGACATTTTGGAATCTGGCAGGACTGGCAAGAACAAGGAAGGGCAGTGACTTCAGTCAGTTGTTCCCTTCCCAGATGAGATTGATGTGGTATACTTGACCTGGGTCAAACCCCTGACAGAGAC